ATCGTATGGACATCATTTAAGAGACAAGCAGCAAATGAGTGAGAGAGAGAGAGACAGAGAGAGAGAGAGAGAGGATATAGCGAGAATTGCATAAGAGTCCTTTTATTTTAATTTTTTGTTAGTAAACCTCTATTTATAAAGACGTAGTCATATAGAAAATATCCCCAACACCATAGATAGAAATCAAAGCATAATTAATTACGTGAAGTACATAAACGATTGTGAAGATACATAAGTCTTAAACTTTGGAGTTCATGATAGGTTCAGTAAAAAAAATTCAAGAAACACATCTTCTTGACATAGGAAATCACAGCTATAAAAAACTGCATGAAACCATGAGAAATTTATCATAGGAGTACAAGTAACGAAATATTTTCTTATAAGGTACATGAATGCACAGAAGCAACACAAAATTTCCTTAAGGAAAAAATTTGATAAAATTTAACATAGGATTTGAGTATTGGATTCATTGGTTAGGCGCTGATGTTTGAGCAATGGCTTAATTGGTTAGGTGTTAATCATCATGATGATGACAACCCTAAATCTAAGGTTCTAAGCGCATACTGAACTACCCGAAAAAACAAGCAACAAGAATACTTACTTTGGCTGAGAAATTATTTAACAAACTACAAATATTAATGAGAAATATGCATTATAATAATCTTTAAAACAATAGAAAATTAAAAGGATGAAAATAAACCGAACATACCTATCATAATGATTTGACCTCAGAGAGAATGCGAGGAATGGAAAACCAGGGATGGGAAAGAAGCTGGGAGAAAAGGAATATATGATAGGGAGAAAGAAAACCGAATCCAGGGGATTAGGAGGAGAAAGAAAGAGGGAAGGAGAAGAAAGAAAAAGAAGGGAGGAAGGAAAAGGAAGGGGGAGCGGGGGGAGATCAGGTGGGAAATAATAGATTGAGAAAGAACGATAAACTTGAGTGAGATGATTAGGAGAGTAAGAGAAGCTTCAACTATATAAAGAATTCTATATCTAATACTCAAAAAATACATGTAATATGGAAGATTTATGGGAGAGAGATTATGCATGGAGGGAAACAAACTAGATGAAGATTTTTTTAGAGGACAGAGATATGTGGGAGAAGATTAGAAGAGAGAGGTTGGAGAAGATCAACAGAGATAAGAGAGCAACATGGGAAGGAATGGATCGATAAACTGTAGATAGGTGTGTTGTCCTTGGTGCACACACACAAACACTTGTTGCAACTAAAGGTACTTTAGATTTAGTTTCCTATTGAATAGAGAAATTGTATAGGAATGGATAGATTTTTTGAGTGATAAGAGAGACCCATGTGCGTCCTAAAATATTAAAATTGCCCTAGAACGTTTTCTTTTTAGGTCACCCACCCCAAGCCCCATCTGTAATACACTACTTGTCCTACACATTTTCAAGGCTTACATACATAGAATAGATAAATACCTTTAGGAATTTCCGTCGAACCCTCTGCAACCCCTTTCTCTAACCTCCACAGGAGGTAGTGCTCCTCTTCCACTTCTTTGTCAGATTCAACCAAAGGAGCTGCAGGAAATAGGAAGCAAGTCTTAAAATATGACTTACAAAGAAAAGTTGGGTTAAGAATATATCATGTGTGCATGTGTGTGTAAGTTTTGACTATAAAATGCCCTTATATGAGTTCAAAAATGACTTTTGACAATAAATAGTTCATCTATTAAAGGAAGGGTATTTTGTCTTTTCAAAATCCCTCCAAAACCCAATTCCATACTTAAAAAGGTTCATTCGATTCTTTGAAGGATGATTGAATTTTAAATAGCAATTTAAAATTACAAATATGCCATCATCAAAATTTTCAAACAAGCTATATTGTTCATGTATTTTTATATTTGTAAGGGCATCTTGTTGTCAAAAATCTTGGAGTAAGAAATTTTAAGTTCACGATTAGTATGGTGTATCTACATACATACATACATATATAGACAGCCACACACACACATACAAAAAGACCACTTACCTTTGGTATAAAGAGGTTGCAATGACTCTTGCCTATTAGATTTGAAATCGGGTAGCTGGCAGCTTGCAACCAGCAAGGATCAATATTCAAAAGAAATTTTCTCAAACCTTGGGTTACACGTCAAGCTATCCAATTTGACATCTAATAGCTAGGCGTGATCATGACATTCTTATACCAAAGATAAATGGTCGTATAGTATAAAATCCATATACATAAATATATAGGGAGTAACTTTTGTTAGCCAAAGGGCTAACAAAGTAGTATCCAATATGACGATCAGGGTAGCGGCTCAGTGTTTTAAATTTTTTTTTTTCTTTAGCAACCCGATGGAGCTAAAATTTTGAGGGTATGTGTGCCTCACCAAAATTAAAAATAAAAAAAGTAATATGCAAAACTTAAAATGACCAAAATACCACCTCCCTTGTCAATGACAAGAGTGGGAATATTTTGGTAATTGTAAATTTTGTCATTTTTAATAGTTTTCCAATTATTTTGGCAAGGTGCACATACCCCCAAAATTTCATCTAAACATATTTGTAGAAAAATATTAAAATCAAACAATGTCCATACACACTAGTTGTCGGAACAATCAAGATTGAATCCAAACCATTGGATGAAGATGTTATGAACCCCCGACCTATGTAATACTATAGGCCATATGACCCAAATTGAAGCAAAAGGGGCCGAATCAATGCACAGGTTCCCCAATAATGGCAAACACAAGTTCACCTTTTTTTGTGTGTATTACTTTTATTTTTATTTTCTGGGGTCAATAATCTATGAGAATGGAGAGATTAGGGAAGACGTCACACATAGAATTTGAGCTGCGTGGGCTTCCAGAGTTTATGAGATTGCCGCATACAATGAAACTGAAAGGGAAGTTTGATAGAACAATTGTAAGACCAGCCATGCTTTATAGGACTGAATGTTGAGTGGTCAAAAAACTACATATTCATATAATGATTGTAGCTGAGATAAGGATTTTGAGATAGATGAGTGGCAAGACAAGAAAGGATAGAATTCAGAATGAATACATCTGAGGAAACTTAAGGGTGGCTCCAATTAGCGATAAAATGAGGGAAAGTAGACTTAAGTAAGCTTCTCATGTGCATAATTGACCTAGAACACCAGTTAGAAGGAGCATTTCAGTTCAAGTAGAAGCTCGAAGGGATAAGTATGGAAGTAGTGAGAAGAGATCTGGTGATCTATGGTTTGAATAAGGGTATGGCCCTTGATAAAGTAGAGGCGCGAAATAGGATTCGTGTAACCGACCTTAAATAGTTAGGATAAGGCACAGATGATGATGATGATAATTGTTATTATTTTTATTTGGAGTGCCTAGAATTTTTTTAAAAAACAAATAATAGCACGCCGCACTAAATGTTCAAACCTCAGCCTAGGTGTTTCGGCCTATACTACTCCATAGGTTGGGTTGCTCTTGGTATCTTTTCCTTTGCATGCGTGTCTGTGTGCCTGTGAAAGATTCCATAGCTATTGGTCAAAAAGTGAAACACTTAGGAAATTTTTTTGAGCTAAAATTTTTTTCACATGTTTGATTCATCTCATGATCAATTTTAAAAAAAGCATTGGGTTATGAGCTCTTGAAACTCCAGATCTCATCTCCCAACAAAAATGGGCACTCTGTAGTCATCCTTCCTTGAAGAGGAAAATTCGATGGAGGGTTTTTACGTCCAAATCGATTTTCTCTTTTGATCTTAGGTCGACCATTGAGATGAATAAGATGATATCGAAATATAGGGGTCAAACCAATGTTATCAAATTCACTTCAGAGGTCTCTTCATTTTGACTGGGAAAGGGAGGCGCTTTGGCTCTTTAGTCAATAGGGGTAAAGTCTATGGGATTATTTCTAAAAACAAATTTCAAAAAATAAAAAAGATATGTATTACTAGGTAGTTTTAATTATATTAGTATGTAAGGTACATTTTCAAATTTTTTAATATCACAGACGTTAGTAATAATAAATTTCGATAGTGCAAAAGGTTTTTTCCAAAATTTAATTATATCAGGGTATTTTTTAAATTAATAGTGATATGAATTACATCAAGAAGTGATTCTCTTGGATTTTTCTGGATATTAAAGCCAAAGACTTTAGGCGCAGAGGCCAAAGTGCAGAAAAATTGATAACGCTGTATTTTGGCCCTTGGGTCAATACTCGAATTATATATAAGAAAACATTCGGTAAATCCAGGGCTAATACAGTAGAAATCAGACCTTAGGTTAGAACACCTAGTTAGGGAGATTTGTTCGACCTTGTAACTCTCAAACAATTTTTATTTATCTTTATGATCAAATTAAAAAAAAATGATTTGGAACTCAAAAGAAATGCTCCAAATCGATTCCTAATTTAAGAATGACACTAAGAGTGCCCATTTCGTGGACAATCAAATCTAAGTGTTTTTTTTTTAAGCTTGAAGTCCTTCCCTTTTTGTCTTCTTAAAATCCCTCACAATGTGAAGTAATAACACACCACACAACCCCCCCCCCCCCCAACAACCAACTTGGTGCTTTATCCTAATGGCTAATTTCAATAGTATAAGCCCTGGGCTCAATAAATATTTCCCTCATGGATAAAGATTTCATCATCCTAGAGAGTGACACTCTAGTGCTTACCACTCACTGCCTTCCCAAATTATGCAAATGATTCTTTCCACCCCAGCACAAAACTTTGTATATTTCTTATTTCATCCCAGCAGACAATTTGAGGAAAAAAAACAAACTACAGAGTGGCTCCCGTAAGAGATAGAGAAACACCACCAAGACCATACATACATATAATATTAGATTTCCAAGACCATACATATATTTTAGATTTCCTCCTTCGAAATATTTTAATGTAAGATACCCTTAGAAATATTAAATTACAGTAGAAATAACTTGTTTGAAAATTAAATAAAAAGGGCATATTTGTAATTTTAAATTGCTTCCAAAATCCAACCACAATTCAAAAGGTCAGAAATTTTGAGTGTGAAGTTGAGTTTTGGTAGGATTCTGAAATGACATAAATACCCTACTGAAATTACATTAACAGTTTGAAAAATTCGAAATAGTTCACCATCAGTGGGGACAAGCATGCCCACCTGCCCGCATGCGTGCGCACACACACACACAAACAGACACCATTAGTGTATGTACCAGGGAAATGGTTATGGAGATTCACGGAAAACCAGAAACATGTTTGGAAGCAAGTAGTTGCAAATAAATATGCAATTGCCACTTTTATTCGACTTCCTAATCAACCTATTGCCTTCCTAATCAACCTATTGCTACAAGGAGAGCGTCAGGAGCATGAAGCAGTATAAACTCGACCTGAAATTGCTTTTGGTGATTAACCAGAGAGTGAGTGATGGAAGTAGGATAAAGTTCTGGGAGATCTACTGAATCACAGCAACTAAAAGAGTGATTCCTGTGGCTAATGAGCACTGTGTTGTCACTGTTGCTGAGGTCACCATTGCAAGAGTAGCTGAACAAATAGGCGAGAAGATGGCATGGTGTCCCTGTTTTAGACAGGCCCTCAAAGATGAAGGCACTGTGATCCTGCTTCAACTTCTACAAACAACATTTCTACACATAGGGTGACAAGACGGTCTGGAATGGTATCCTCACAGTAAATAACATTTCTCATGCAGCCCTGTTATGGACACGTCACCCAAATCACGATACGACCGAGTACTGGAAGCAAGCACGAATCATACTATACAAGCTTTTGCAAATGTGGGACTTTAGATAAGATTGTCAAGATTAAAAATCTTCAAAATGAGATTTCGGCACCAAACAGATACGTGATGTATGAGGAAGAAGCAGAAACCACTAAGATATATATTTCTCCATTGGAGAGGGGCCTTGCCTCAGCAATGTGATTGTTGTTTATGCGACCTTTGGCTTCAAATTGGGCCACTCTAGCTGATATTGATGAACACATATGTCAATGGTACTAGCCTAATATGCAGAGGCTCGGTCTAACCCTTTGGAGACTAATAATGTTTGAAATCTTTGGGGTTTATGGCTAGAGCATAAACAGAAGGATTTTCAAGAGAAACACCTCCCAAATCTTGATGATCAAACATCAATCAAGGTACTGGTTTGATCATGGGCCCTCGCAAGAAAATAATTTTGGGGGATACCTTTTGCAGATCTTAATACCAATTGTCTACAATAGCTTGGAGTTCACAGCGAAAGAAACATTCACCCATCTCTTTAAATAGCGCACCACCGGTGGGCGGCATCAAACTCAACTTTGTGGATGTTCCACAGGCAACCCTGGCCTCCCAGTGTGTGTGGGGTGTTTAAGACCGGTCAAGGCAATACCCTACTTTCTTTCTCTGGACCAATGGCAATCTATGACACAAACAATATCAATGGCAGTCTTGCGGGTGTCCACAATTAGAATCCTAGGTGAGGCACATTCATTGTAGAAGAAGATTCCAAAAAGAAATCTCTTGGCCTCAAGATTGCTATAATTTTCTGCAGAGATACGCTAACATTTGTTGGAATTTGTACTTCTGTTTAAGAGTGATGGCCACTTGTGATCATATACGGATAGAAGCCAATTCAATAGCAGACACTTTAGCAAAAGAAGGAGCCAACAAAATCAGCCACTTGTTGCTATGATACATGCACAAGGAGGAAGTGATACGCAATTTTGATACTTGTGTTATATATACACATTTTGCAAAGCCTACACAATTATACTTATACATTTGGAGAAATCAATTAAAAACAGTTTATATGTATGTATCTATGTATGTTTGTGTGGTGGATTTGGGCTCGGACAGCCCATCACCTAGGGTGACTACTACAATGTCACCCTGGGGCTGATGAATCGTTATGCTTGTCCCTTCCTTATATTACAAAGGGATTCTAGTCATAAGAAAACTTATAAATCTTCTTTAGCATATTAACTCATACAAAGGCAACTTCAGATCTTCTCCTTTCTTCTTTGGCATTTTTTAAATAAATTTCTACAACAACCATTAGCTGCTACATAATACTTACGAACGGTTTTAGATGGGAAAATTCCTCTGAACCCAAGTGAAGTTAATCTAGGATCCTTGTACCATCGCCATCCAAGATTATTCCCTTCTGCGGCAGATAAACCGGTAGCATCAACAGATCCACCCCAACCTATACTTGCTGCATCAGGTTCTTCATCCAGTGAAGATTTATCAGAAAGATTTCCACCAAAGCATTGCCAACAAGCATATTCTTTAGACATATCCTCCATTTCAACTTTCGCTCTCAGACGGTACCTACAGTAGAGAACCATGTAATTGTGTGAAGCATTTCGATCACTTCTAAGGCTACATGCAATGATAATAAAATAGAGGAAAACAGAAAATAATCAGACAGTACAAGCAACCATATTAAGGGTCAGTTTAGATGTGGCAGATAAGTCACTGCAACAAACTGATTACCAGGGATGGGGGCAAAACTAGGTGTTTAATATGTTTCCCCTCATTTCTGATAAGCAGTGCCTTTTATTAAAACAGGACCAGCTTTCTATAGCATTCAGCCATGCACCAGATGCCCAATAGAACGGGCCTTGCATATAAAGACACCCTATTGGTGCTTTATCCGCGATCCATAGGGACCTTAAATGGACAATGGCATTTGAATGGGTGGCTGGTACACACAATGAGGAACATACGAAACTTATAGGCTATGACTTACTAGATGCAACATCCTGGTTAAGATGATTTCATAATCAATATCTCACTCCACAACCTTGTCTTTTTCAGAAATAATAAGTTATCAAATCGTCAATGGAATTGAAGACGCAATTGTTGAACTTCAAAAATCTCCAGCTGGAGCTTTGGAGGGCCTTTCCAAAAGGCCCGCATGATATATCAGAGACCAAAGATTTCAAAAACTGAGTTTGGATGGCAAAGGATTATCATAGAGGGTAGTCTTCCTCTAACATTAAAATTTAAATCTATATTTAAAACTTTTATTTGAGATAGTGTGACAGATTCTAAAGATTCTTACGAAAATCCAAGGAAACCATCATAGCATCTGTTCCAAGCATTATGTTTTTATGTGTCAATTGAAATAACTTTCCCATGTTCAAGTTTGAATAATTATATGTGGATACCCACCCTTTCCTACAAATACATCCACTTGAAATCCAATTTAACTAGCATCTGTATACGGCATAAAGCTACATAATCTTAAGTAACTAAAAGAATGTCTAATGCTAAACTAGTAAACTGAACTGCATTATCAATAATAAAGTAAGATTATACAAAGCAATGTATTAGTACAGAGATCTTGGGTACACATAAGCAGATTGGGCTGGCTGCTCAAATGATAGGGCGTTCTGCTACTGGTATTCATTTTTCTCGAACAAGAAACTCAAATTTTCGGAGAAATATGTAGCACAAGATTGTTGCAACGACCAAAGCATATATCCTTCTGCATACTTGCACATTTTTTCTGGTCTCAAATAGGCCGAAGCACATATATATAACAGTAGGTTTGTAGGTTTGTCTGAGTAAACTGCATACCTAAAGTCTATGGATGTTTTTAGAAACTCCTCGTAATCAATGAATTGGAGAAGCATATATTACTTCTACAACAATCTGCAAGCGACATTCCTAGAAGTACAAGAAGAAAATAATAAATAGGGGTGTTGCTGAAGAATCTAGAAAACTGGAAATGATAAGTAACCATTTTATCTTCCAAAAGAATCAAAAAAACAAATCGCCTGAATCGGCCCTTCAAATGTAACCTAATACACATTACTTCAAATGTAATCTAACATTGCATTGTTTCTCAGATAAAATGCACCCATTGTTTTCAGGGCAGAAATTTTCACTTTCAATGTTTCCAGCTCCCATTCGATTACCAGCAGTGACTGAAGCAACTGTGAACTTCATCCATTATCAACAAAACAAACGTCTAACAAGCAGATCAACATGCACCTATAATTCAACAAGAAGGCAGGATGCTTACTTTTTCAAGCAATCGAGGAGCTCATCCAGAAGGGAAGCATCGACGTCTGCAAACAGAGGAGTGGATTGGGAAGAAGAGGAAGCACCGGGGCCGGAGCCAGTCCTATCCAGCTTCTCGCTGGGGAGAGGGGGGCGGTAAAGAACGAGATCATAGAGGAACCTCCCCTGAGGGGTCAGCAAGGCTGAATAAACAGGCGGAGCGTATTTCAGCAGCTGGTTAGGGGTGGGCACAGAGGAACTCTTAATCTCTCCTTGGCCATTTTGGAAGGCTAAGCTTCTCACGTCATTTGTGAGGAGGCCCTGAAGAAACTTAATGGTGTCAGGGCCATCAAAGCGGATGACACCCCGGTTCTTGAGAAGACAAGCCAGAGGCCCATCCACGTCTCGCAGAGTCTTAGGGCGATTAGGGTTAGGGTTTCTGGGCTCCTCTTCTCCTGAATGAAATGAGGCGATGGCAGTTGTAGAAGACGGGACTCTGAAATATACACGATTCAAGTTCCACCAGTTCGAGTGGCGGAGGGAAAACCGCTGCATTTTTTGTTCTCTTTAAATTAAACCCTTCAACATGAAAATGGAATGAATGAGAATACAGAGGTTGATGAATGAATAACGAAGGAGGCGTTGAGTCAGTGAGTGACGCCGCCTCCGAGCAGCACGTCGACATGCCACTTGTCTTCCATGGCTGCCTTAAGTAACTATTTTGCATTATTTTATGAAAAATATTTTGATAGGCCTGCAGTCCTATTAATATAAGTAAAGCTTCATCGAAAATCGTAGTTCCCGCGTCCGAAAACTTTCCATTCGATTATCTCCGCCTTGACCGTGAGGGTGGGATTTCAAGTATTAAAAATAACGTAAATTGTAATAAATTATCTAAACCGTCCATTTTGTTTTAAAAATAATGTTTAAGGATCTATAAGATCTGCACAGTGTTTTCAACTTTTAATTTGTTTGGCGGTATTGGAAATTGATTTTAAAGCCATGATGAAAGTTTTTGATACCCAAAGTGCTTTTCAAAAGAGGATTCGAGCTTTTGATTTTACTTTGCTTTCATAAAGCCTAAGCATTATAGAAACTACACCTTTATTTTATTTTTTTAAAAATAAATAAATGTTTTTAAATGTGTTTTATTTTGCTTTTATTAGAGGGTGTGGTTTGTATAGAGTTGAGGCTCAAAACAATCAAATTAGAACCCACATTCAAATAGTGTTGAGAAATTTGGTTCAATATTATATATCTTTGTGATAGCCTTCAAATATTCTTTTATATTTAATATAAAATTTAAAGTTAAAAAATAATGTAGAACAAGCAGATCTATAAAAACTTGAAAATTGACGGTCCAAAAATGCGTTACAAAATACACTATTTTCAAAATTTGAAATCCATTTTTTTTCTCATATCCATACATCATGATGTCAAGACGATCTATTTGAGGATATTTGTGCATTAAAACAACCTCTTCTAATGAAAATTTTGAGGTGGGTGATTGTTTTGGAGCCTCACCCCTGTATCAAATGCCCCAAGTTTAAAACTATCATTTTCCTATACGTCGGTTAATATTTGAAATTCTGTATGACTTGATAATACAAAGTGCTCCCCAGTTCGAACTGAAGTTCCACTCTTTGCACATAGAGAACGTAAATAAAATCGAAATCGATATTAGCTAATATGAGTCATCCAATTAAAATAAGATGCTTAGGGATGAACTCAAGATATTATGACAAGATTATACCAGCTGTTTATTAAGATTGGACGACAGTTAACAGCAGTACATATATATTGTGTTTGGGTGGCGCCACATGTAAAAATATTCGATGTATGGACTATATTGATGTTTTGGTTATGTGCCCCAATTAACACTTAGAACGAGTGGAATGGAGATGAGAAATTTGAAATGGATGAATTACAAGACAATAAATAATAGAATTAAAAAATTGAGTATAATGGAGATGATAATTTGAAAAATTTGAGATACACCACCAACAGACAATAAGACGAGGGAAAATAGATTTAGGTGGGTTGACATTGAAGGTCTGATTTTCTTCAAAAGTGGGAAACTTAAGGGCTTGAAGAACCAAGAGCCTATGCCTTCTCCTTGTCAGATTAGGCAAAAATACCTAAGAAAGAGATCGAGAGGATTGCTGCCCCATGCAGAGACAGAGAGAGAGGAGGAACCCCATTGGTTACCTTTCAGAGATAGAATAAAAACGGTACTGCACTCTAATGGAGAAAGAAAGTGAAGAAAAGGCACAATGGAAAAAGATAGGACTTTGAGAGAGAGAGAGATAGAGGGGATGTTTGGAGAAAGATAGGATCGTGCCACCAGGTAGATGAAAAACACTGGTAGCCTTGGGGCCGAGGTTGCCTATGGACTGTCGTGGGTAAACATAATGCACCCTGTACTATCTCATGAAAAGTTAGAACCTTTGTTTGTTAATCTTTGATCGGATGGTAGAGTGTTAAGCCAAGAACAATTACCGTTTGTGCCAACAATGCTTGTGACGCTATACTCAATTGCCTAATCTTGATCATACAATTAGATTTCTCTAAACCAACAGCTTAAAAAATGGATCGGTGACCCGGATCGGGCACCTCAAAAAATGATCCGGATCCACGAATCGGCGATCCGGATCGGGAATTGGTAAAAAAATCCGAAAAAATTATTAAAATTCATTATAAATGTTTTTTAAGAATCCAATAAAAAATAAAGGTACTATATTATTAACTTTCATTTTTTTTATCAATTTGTGAATATTGAGATGTTCTTTCCCTGTATAAATTTATTTTAACTATTAAATTTGCATCACATAAAAGAAAAATTATATAATTATCATGGATAAAATATATAATTATACATGGACTATTATCAAGAGTAGACTAATCAATGAAAGAATGGCCATTAAAATCTTGTTTTGGCGAAAAACCCTAACCCGTTAAAAAAACCCAAACTATTACAGCCTAACTAACTATAATCCAAAATTATTACAACCTCACTAATTATAATATTACATACTGAAATTATAATTATTAGTTTACATTTTATAATTATTTTATTAGACAAATAATAACAAATTAAAAATATTTTATAATATTATCTAATTTAAAATGTATTATTGACAACTGTAAGAAAAATAGTACATTACATGATTTATAATGTAAAAATTCATAAATAAAATAAAATATTTTGTTATCAATGTAATAATTAATAAAATGCATACACATTTTGAAAATAACACTTCATTTTTTCAAAAATTTATTTTTTTAGGTTTTTATAATAAATTTAGTAAAAGAGATTGTTAGTAGAAATATGGAGATTTCAAATAGAATAAACTTTTTATTTTTAATTTTTTTATACCTTTCATAATATTTATAAAAATAATTATACCACTATATACAACAAAAATTAACGGTTATATAAAAAATTAATTTTTTTATTTTTCATTTTTTTATGTCTTTTATATTATTTACAAAATTATTTATATTTATACCAACCACTATATACACAACAAAAATATTTATATTTATACCAACCACTATATACACAACAAAAATATTTATATTTATACCAACCACTATATACAACATATGCCCAAGGGGATTCGAAAACATCAAAAATATTTATATCAACCACTATATACACAACAAAAATACAACACATGCCCAAAGGGGTGCCCAAGGGGATTCGACCTATGTAAAAAATTCAAAGTCATAACCATCAAGCCATCTAACTACATGTGATTATAAACTGTTGATTAATAGAGTATATTTACATTTCGTTTTCATTTAATGATGTTTGGGAATTATCCCATATCGAAATATGGGTATTCAAATTTGGTATATAAATACCTATAAAATATGAATTATAAATGTGTATAAAAACATTAGGGCAACCTCACATGTGCGTTTGGACACACGTGTCCGCGTGTGAGTGTGCGTGGGGCACGCTCGCACGTGCGCTTGGACACACGTGTGCGCATGTGAGTGTCCGTGGGGCACGCTCGCACGTGCGCTCGGACACAAGTGTGCACGTGTGTTCGGACACACGTGTGTGCGTGTGAGTGTGCGTGGGGCACGCTCGCACGTGCACTCGGACACACGTGTGCGCGTGTGAGTGTGCGTGGGATACGCTCGCACGTGCGTGTCATGTGTTACGTGTGTGAACCGGGCTAAACCGGATGGGAACCGGCGGTTTCACTCTAGAACCGGGCTGAACCGGATGGGAACCAGCAGTTTCACTCTAGAATCGGGCGGTTCCCGATTTTCGGTTGGAACCGGCACGGGCACGCGTGTTTCTGAATCGAACCGGGCGAGTCCGGTTCGACTCGCCGTTTTTTAAAACACTGCTCTAAACACATACAAATTATATATATGGAGGCACACAGCTCGCCAAGAAACAAAAGCCTCCACTTATTCTTTCCCTTAATCAACATATGCATCCATTAAAATCGGAATCGGGCCTAATACATACCCCGCCGATTTTAAATCAAGGGCTAATTTCTTTAGCACCCGATTTATGTTTTCCACCTCAGGGTGGGACTTATCACCCACCAAAAACTCATGAACTACTCCATGGACTTCAATCCAGCTGCAACCAGGGATCTTCTTCACATCTCTCGCTCTCATCATCATTCTCACTGTGCTCGCATCGTCCCACATGCTAGCATTAGCGTACAGATTTGATAAAAGGACATAACTGCTTGATTCAAAGGGGGCCAGCTCAATAAGGCATCTCCCCGCCCATTGGCCGATCTCTATGTTCCCATGATTCCTACACGCACCAAGTAGTGACCTCCAAACCATGATGCTGGGTTCGATTGGCATCTCTTCTATGAATTTCTTAGCTTCCTCTAACAACCCAGCTCGACCAAATATGTCGACCATGCATCCATAATGCTGGAGTTTGGGTTCAATATTGTACTCTTTGCTCATGCTTTCGAAGTAGTGTATGCCCTCATTCACCAGGCCTGCGTGGCTACACGCACTTAGCACGGCGATGAATGTGATATCATCGGGCTTGAATGAAAGCCTCTGCATCTCTGAGAAAAGTTGAAGGGCTTGGTGGCCAAGTCCATGCATCGCGAGGCCCCCAATTATCGCATTCCAGTGGTTGATACTTCTCTTTTGCAGGGCCATGAAAACTCGAAGGCCGCTCTCTATACTCCCGCACTTGGAGTACATGTCTATGATGCCTGCACCGAGAATGCCATCCAATTGGAACTGGTTTTGGTTCTTATCAATGTGATTGTGCACCCATTTGCCTTCCTCTAATGCCCCAAGAGAGGCAATTGCAGAAAGAACAGTCACCAATGTCACTTGATTAGGCTTCACACCCTCCACCTGCATCATGTGAAAGAGTTCTATGGCATCCTTGTACTGACCATTCTGCACATACCCACCAAGCATTACATTCCACGATATCGAGTCTCTTTGGGGCATTTGCTCGAAAAAATCACGCGCTATGTCAATGCTTCCAATTTTGGAATAGCCATCGATCATGTTGGCCCAAGAGATCACATCCCTCTGCGGCATCCTCATGAATAACTCATGTGCTCCTTCCATCAGCCCCCATTTTGCATACCCATCAATCATGGCATTCCATGACACCGAGTCCCTCTCAGGCATGGCATCAAATAGCCGCAGAGCAACTTCAATATTGCCTGCTTTGGCATAGCCATCGACCATCGCATTCCAAGATGCCAAGCACCTTTCCGGCATCTGATCAAAGAGGTCTTGTGCAGCTTCCATATCCCCACTCTTGACGTGGCCATCGATCATGGTGTTCCAAGCGACCGCATCCTTTTGGGGCATCAGGTCAAACACTCGACATGCAAATTGGACTCCTACACATCTCGAATACATGTGAATCAAGGCATTCTGGACAAAGACATCTGACTGGAACTCGCTCTTGCTTATCCAAGAGTGAATCTGCAAGCCTTCCCGAATAGCTGTCAAACTCGTGCAAGCCTTGAGCACGAGAGTGAAGCTAAACCTGTCCGGAAGGACCCCATTGCCCAGCATCCGGCAGAAGAAGAGCAGAGGGTCACAGCCTCCGATCATGGCATTCCACGAGACCACATCCCTATGAGGCATTTTATCAAACACTCTGTTTGCCGCGTCGAACTGGGAGCATTTCACATACAAGTTAATCAGCGTGTTGAGAACAAAGACATCAAAGCTCAAATGCTTAGGGCTCTTCACAATTTGAGCGTGGATCTGCTCGCCTTCTTTGAGCGCCAGCAAGTGAGCGCAAGCCTTGAGGACCCAGGGGTATGTGAACTTGTCCAATTGCACGCCCTGGTGAAGCATTTCAGAGTACAAAAGCAAGGCGTCCAGCGGGCGGTTGCTATCCGAGTATGCTCGTATCAGGGTGTTCCACAAGTAGGGGTGGTGGGATTGCTCGTCGAGCAGCAACAGGAGACGCGATGCATAGTCGAGCCGTCGGATCGGTGGTGAAGAGCAGAGAGAGAGGAGTTTTGCGGCGACCGAGACTCGGCGAATGAGGCCGGTGGTCACGGCTCTGGCATGGATCTGGTGAAGCTCTCTTATAGCATTGAAGGATTGAGTGTGTAATAGATAAATGGTTGAGGACGAGGGGCCGCTCCATGAGGATTGATGCTGGGTTGCTGAAGATGAGGATGCCAATAGCATAATGCTTCTCTGCTGCCTTTGTTTGAGGAACTGATCTCAGCTTTTGGCGCCAGCTTCTTTCTATCAGACGGGTAACGACCCACATATCCGATAACTGTTCACATCAATTGGGCTTGTCCTCAAATAAATATCATTTTTTTAGGTTGCTACCTAAAAGTGTAGAACTAAATAAGTCGTTTTAACGTTGAAAAGCCCTTCCTCATCTCGAAATCGAAATGTACAAATATGAAAAAATAAAATATTTTCAATCTAAAAAATAGTGCACCTTACAACATATTATCAAGATCATCTATTTTCAAGATTTTCATATGTTTATAAATCTCCTTGATTTTCACCGTTTTTAGAATTTAAAATTTTATAATTAGATATGAAAGTAGACTTTCAGATAATCCTACTAAATTTGTACACCAAAATTACATATTATGATCAAATTTGGGCGGTACATCGTAATTAGATTGTTTAAGGTTCCAACTCTATAGAAACCACGCCCTTGTTTAAATATTATAACTAAAACATATAGTTATATTTACTTAAATTTTAATTAAATATTCTTCAATTATTATATATTACATATTAGTTATAAAATAACACTATTCGGGTCAAGTTCGCATGGACCCAAACTCAAATAGTGTTCAGGTCCAATATTTGAACCCAGACCCACTTGTTCAAGTCCAATTCTTAAACCCATATGTAGACTTGTGTCGGGTTTGGATGTTGGGTCTCGGGTCAAGTTCAAGTCCATTGCCGCCCCTACTGAGAAACATGGCTTGGTGACTCATATCCCTTATTTAGATACTCGGTCCAAATCCGCAGCAACGAGTGAATAAACAAACTTTTTAAAAAATGAATAAAAATATATTAGAAAATAAATGGAATTGATTTGTTCTGCTAGAGAACCGACCATAATCACTCGCTTCTTGATATCTAGCTGGATCTAGATTGACCATTGGTCAGGGTGTGTTTCAATTTGAATTTCTTTTTTAGACCTTGAACCTTGTCAATTAGACATCTTTGGGTACCCGAGAATATATATAAGGGTAATTCAGTGAGGAAGACATACCCCTACTTATTTTTTTCAATAGATTGGAGTTGCATTTTGAAAGTGTTAATTGGGAGTGTCAGCATCAGAAATGGATACCACGATGTGGTAACTGTATGTGGGGAGGCTATCACCATGACCACGACCCTTTTCCTAATAGTAAATAGTTACGTGACGTGTTCTTCACATTACATTAGTGACGACCTAAGCAAGTCATATGCAGTGTTATCAGGATCAGACCACCCATTACATCGATGAGGGGTTTGATCCATTCAAAATAAAGCTAACAAACCAGTCAAACCGATTTGACCAAATTTTAAACTATTAAAACAAATATGAAATTATTCAAAATATATAATATACTAGAAAATAATAATGCCCCACTTTGTTTGGACAAATCAAATTGGTGGAAACCGAGCGGTTGAATTGGCAAAAATCGGTCAAGCACTTGTTTTGACCAGTTTAACTGTTGCTAAACCAATAGATGAGTGTTTCATGTTTCTTCTGTTTGACTGCACTCATGGTATAAATATGAGGAGCGTACAACTTGTCTTATCGCGCATGTCTTATTCTTCATCAAATTTTTTTTTTTATTTTTTTAAATCCTCTTTTTGAGGTTTACTTTTTTTTTTTTTTCAAAAGGTTATATTATATTATTAAAATTTAAAATAGTAATCAATATTCTATAGGGATTGTTTACAAAGAGACCATTTATCTTTTGTACATGGAAGTCACAATCATTAGCTCTCGTTAGATGTCAAATTAGATGGCTTGGGGTGAGTTACCAAAATTTGAAGTTTTTTTTTTTTTTAACTTTGTGTCTATCCAATGACACTTTTACAACCACCTCTTTTGAAATTTATGGGACAAACATTATCGTGACCTCCGAGTATGAAAAAAATGATCTCTTTGTAGACAATCTCAATTTAAAATTAGGTGTTAAAATTCTATCCATTTTTTTATGTGTTTAAATTTATTTTGTTTTTTTTCATATTTTTAGTATTGAGAATGAATCCACAATCCACGTCTAAAATACATCTGTCTCATTTAAATAGATAAGTCCGCCCAATCATGGAAACCTTGTCCTATAAATAAATCAGAATGAAATCCGAACTCGTGAACTGTTGAATTCAGAATTATGTGATGATATTTACAGAGTGGGTTATGGGTACTGTGATTCGGCAATGAGATAAACGCGGGAAAACCTCAAATCCAATTTGCCCTTTATCCTAAACCAGAGCCAGACAGGATCCAAGCTCACCAAATTTCTGTAAACTTTGCTATTAGTTGAGGAGTGATATTGGCAATGAGTCCCTTGTTCGGGGAAATGGAGAAAGAGAAGAGAATGATAATGGGGAAGAAGAAAGGGGAGGCGATGGAGGTGCTCAGGAAGTCATGGTACCATTTGAGGCTGTCGGTTCGGTATCCTGCTAGGGTTTCGACGTGGGACGCCATCCTGCTCACTGCAGCCAGCCCCGAGCAGGCGGAGCTTTATGAATGGCAGCTCCAGAGGGCAAAGCGTGTGGGTCGCATCGCGCCCTCCACAATTGCCCTCTCTGTCCCGGATCCGGAGGGAGCTCGCATTGGATCTGGTGCTGCCACCCTCAATGCCCTCCACGCTCTATCCTGCCACTTGATTCACCCCTCTAATACCCAGGTAGTCTCCCTTTCTTTTCTCTTTGCTGCACTTTGATTTATTTTCTCTTTATTTTTATTTTTTTGAATTTTTTGATTTTGATTAGTGGCATTTCCGCCTAAGTTTGCTTTATCAGGAACAATTTGCCATGCATTGTTATAATCTGCCATCTGTTCTAGTTTACTGGCATGATAACCCTGTTAATGACTTCTTGTGCTGTTTAATTTTAGAATCCCCATGGAAATAGGTTTTTGACGCCCAAATGTGGATGCTCTTTTGATGGTACAATTCATCTGAACATAGCATTTTTGCTGGTAAACCTTCCTTCTCACTTGAAGAGATTTCCTGTCTCCATCATTCTCTCCAGAATTTCTGACGGCCTTCATTGGAAATTCTCAGCGGTTTGCGGACCTAATTCTGATGTGGATAGACCCATTCTTTGGGACGAATTGAACCTTATCGCGGAACTTCCTTAGCAGATTTGGTGCATAGGTGGGAATTTCAACGAGACTAGGTGGTCCCATGAGAGAAACTCCTCCTCCAGAATTACTCTGGCAATATCTGCCTTTTTTGACATTGTTGCTCTCAACAATTTGGTCGACCTACCTATTCAAGGTGCCCAGTTCACCTGGTCCAGTCATGTCACGAACCCATCTCTTTCCAAACTAGACCGGGACACAAACTTCCCTGGAACCCATTCTTCGGCTCTACCAAAACCTGCTTCAGATCATTGTCCCATTTTACTTGACACTAAGATTGTCGACAATGGCCCAAAACCATTAAGATTTGAACTCAATTGGTTAGAAGAACCTAATTGTCTTAACCAATTCCTCATTTGGTGGCAATCGCTCTCTAACCTGGTAGAAGGTTGGGCTGGGTTTAAACTATAGAGAAAAGTCCAACTTTTGAAGAATCATCTTAAAACTTGGAGTAGGGGTCTTCTGGGATTCCTTGGGCCTCAGAAGTCTGCAACCCTGCAATCCATTCAATCCCTAGGCTTCCTTGAAGAATCTAGACCACTCTTGGACAGTGAACTCATAAGTAGAGATGAGCTCAAATTCCAATGCCAATCAATTCTCAAGAAAGAGGAAATTTTTTGGTATCAGAGGTCCAAGATTAGGTGGCTGAAGGTAGGGGACCTGAACATAGGCTTCTTTCATAAAATTGCCAATTGTAGGCGTAGAGACAATACTGTCACCCATCTTCAAGTGGGGGATAATCTGCTGGACCAACCTTCTGAGATTGAGCAAGCCATCCTTGGCTATTTTCTAAATCGATTCTCTGCCCCACCATCTTCTCGGCCTCCCATGGGTGACCTCGATTTCTTGTATCTCCTTCTGGACAAGGCTTCGTGGCTAGAGAGGCTGTTCTCTTAACAAGAAATCTTAGCAGCCATTTCTGATTTGGACTCAAACTGAGCTTGTGGTCCTGACGGTTACCTTATTGACTCCTTTAGAACAGATTTCCTAGACCTATCCAATGAATTCTACTATAGGGGGGTCCTTCATAGGGCTGTGAATGCTACTTTCATCGCACTTATTCCCAATATTGAAGGAGCTTCTCAACTCAAAGACTACCACCCTATTAGTTTGTTCAATTCCACTTACAAAATCCTTGCAAAAGCTATAGCCTCTCTGAAAGAAAGACCTATGTAATCTTTTGCCAGGGAAATACAATTTTTTTTTTTTTTAATAATAATCACCCCTTATAATTTTGGCAACAAGATCACTCACATATGGTCTTATTACAAACAATAGAAATTCCAAAAATAAATAACACATCAATAAAATAAATCTCAACTACTTGATGTCATTCATACAACCTAATATTGTGCTTGAGAATATAAAATAAAAGAACAAACAATTAAAAGAAAAGATGCCAGAGATTACCCTAACCGGGCTTTTTACACCCATACCGAGTCACTACATCCAATGGTGCGGGATCAGCGGTCTAGCTTCAATCTCGAACCAGGAAAGCTAATTTCGGCCAAACTAGGTAACCACCCTTAAATCTCTACAAAACCCTAACTCCAAAATAATTAGGCTCAAACCCTAACTTTCCCAACCCTTAGATTAGATCATGAGAGAGTAAGAGTCTTTATGTTGGGGCGTGCCCCCTCGAGTCTTTTTAGGAGAGAGAGAGTAGAGAGAGAAAATCAGAGTAGAGAGAGAAAATCAGAGAGTAGAGAGAGAGGGGCGTGGCCCCTAGGGAAAGAGAGAGTTTATGGGAGAGAGTTTATGGGAGAGAGAGTTTAGGTCTAGGGTTTCTTTAGGGTTTCCCATAGTTTGCTTCTTTCTTGAGATTGAATATGGACTGTTGATCAAGGTGACTTGTGGGGTGAGAGATCTGAACCATCCATTCCATAGATGGACCATCAACATTATGGAAGGTGCATGAACTATTATCCCCCTTTCTAAACCNTTTTCCCATCAATATA